GGGAAATTCAAATCCCGGGCTTCATTTGCAAGTGCGGTATGCCTACATTACCCTCCTAGTTCGAACTAGGAGGACCCCTTCAAAGAACTCTAACAGATTAGTAAGACAGGATTTCCCTTTACAGAAATCATGTTGACTTTTGTCCAACAAATTTTGTTCTTCTACATGCCTCACAATTGTATTCTTTACTATTGTTTCGACTAATTTGCCCGGTACTGAAGTTAGACTTACTGGTCTGTAATTGCCAGGATCTCCTCTAGAGCCCTTTTTAAATATTGGTGTCACGTTGGCTACCTTCCAGTCATTAGGTATGGAAACCGATTTAAATGATAGATTATAAACCACAGATAAGAGTTCAGTAATTTCCCATTTGAGTTCTTTTAGAATCCTTGGATGAATGCCATCTGGTCCTGGAGATTTGTTAACATTAAGTTTTTCTATTTGTTCCAAAACCTCCTCTAATGACACTTCAATCCAGGACAGTTCCTCAGATTCATCACCCACAAAGGACGGTGCAGATTTGGGAATCTCCCTAACATCCTCAGCTGTGAAGACTGAAGAAAATAAATCATTTCGTTTCTCCGCAATGGCTTTATCGTCCTTGATTGCTCCTTTTATAGCTCGATCATCTAGGGGACCCACAGGTTTTTTAGCAGGCTTCCTGCTTCTAATGTACTTAAAAAACATTTTGTTATTTCTTTTTGAGTTTTTGGTTAGCTGTTCCTCAAAATCTTTTTTTTTTTTTTTTGCTTTTCTTATTACATTTTTACACTTGATTTGACAGTGTTCATGTTCCTTTCTATTTATCTCACTAGGATTGGACTTCCACTTCTTAAAAGATGCCTTTTTGTCCCTCACTGCTTCTTTTACATGATGATTAAGCCACGGTGACTCTTTTTTAGGTCTCTTGCTATGTTTTTTAATTTGGGGTATACATTTAAGTTGGGCCTCTATTATGGTGTCTTTAAAAAGTTTCCATGCAGCTTGCAGGGATATGGCTCTAGTCATTGTGCCTTTTAATTTCTGTTTAACTAACCTCCTCATTTTTGTGTAATTCCCCTTTTTGAAATTAAATGCCAGAGTGCTTAATGAAGACACAGGAATAAAGAAATGCATCAAGGGAGAGTGCAAAAGTGACTGTCACACACAGCCTGGGACGGCCCATTGCAACCTACATCCTGAGTCAGAGCATTTGCAGCTTCTGTGTCTTGTGCGCTGAAATGTCACTGCAAGATTTGCCAGGCCCAAAGGGGTACAGTTGCAGGATGAGTGTTAAAAAACCAAAGTGAAGCCCGCAACATTACAAATCCATTTCAGGGAAACTTCTTAACAAGAAGTCAGCTCATTTTACAGAACAAGCCATCCACAGCCCTATGCTCTAGGTGACTTCCCCTAGGTATCCCCTTCATCTAAAGTGACCATCCAAGATGAATATTTGACCTTTCGTTGATCCGTGGTTATTTGTCAAAGAAGCATATTAAGCCCCAGCTTCCTTGGCTGGTAAAGGCCCTTTGCTATTGAAATTAGTGTGGTTGCACTGTGTAAGCGAAGGGACTAGAAAAAGGTGTGAATGGGATACAGAAACTCTATCCAGTATGAAGTCCCATTCCACATGGAC